GGAGCCGTCGTGTCGTGCCTGCGGAGGAGGGCTGAGGCTTTAGAGCAAATTAAAAGGAGCTTTCCCTGTGAGCAGGGATCTCACCGGTGTGTCTAAACACGTGGAGGGGGAGCGCAGAAGGAGATGGAGTCAGGCTGTTTGCAGTGCCCAGCGCCGGGACAGGAGCCCGCGGGCACAGACTGGAATGCGGCAGTGTCCCAGTGAACATCAGGATACACTTCTAGGGTTGTGGGGGTTTTTTTTTGTTGTTTTTTTTAAATTTTTTTTCACCCTGAGAGGGCCTGAGCACTGACACAGGTTGTCCAGCGAGGCTGTGGAGTCCCCATCCTTGGAAACATTCAGCAGCCTCCTGGACACGTTCCTGGGTAAGTGGCTCCGGGTGGCCCAGCCTGAGCAGAGGTCAGACCAGGTGACCTCCAGAGGTCCCTTCCAACCTCAGCTGTGCTGTGGAAACGACCTCGTAAGCCAGTGGAACCACAGTACTAGTCAAATTGCTGTTAGCTTAAAGGAGAAAAATAATGTATGTGTAACATCCATTATAGCAAACACTGGTTGATACATTTTAAAGAACCAAAACTGCCTTGCTACACAGTTCTAACTTTGCATTGATACAGGTTGAATGAGTTTTGTACGATACAGAGCACCAGAAGTTTTGTGGTGGTGTTCTCGTGCTTCTCCATTGTGTTTTTTCAAACTATACCAGGGGCATGACACAGAGTACGTAAGTGTAGTAGAAACTCCAGTGGGACAGTTTGTCGTTCATCCAGCAAATCCCGTTTTCTGTGCCTTCCATGTTGTGCCCTGAAGTCTGGGTGAATTTTGGACAAAATGCTTGAAATAGTTCAACTTGATAATCAGCATTATTTCAGGATAGTGAAAAGACCATCGTCTTATGAAGCATTTGTAGTTATGCTTTTAAAACTAAATGACTTGTTTGTTTGTTTTGAACAGGTATCTCTTAATCAGCTAAAATGGTTTTAAAGAAGAAGAAGGAAATTCAGGTAGATGCATTCTTTCTTGATGATCAGCAGCTTGAAAAACTTCAGAGTAAGTGGGGTGTTTTTTTCTGAACTAATATTGCATCATTTCTTTTTCTCTTAGTAGAAAATGTTTGAGTAGCTACTGAAATTGATTATTTTTTTCTTGTTATGTTTTGTTTCTAGTGATTTTATTTTATGGGGTTTAGATGTGTTTGCTCTTCTGTGGTTTGTTTTTATTTGGTAATGACAATTGTTTCTTACCTTGGCAGAACTAAAATAATTCTTAGAGAACTTTCTTTAAAGAACAGTGTCTTTGATTTGAAAGCTGTTTAATTTGTTTTACTGTTAGTGTGAAGGTGAAAGAAGGTCCTACTTGTGATGTCACTTGCAGGCCTGTAATTCATTGCTGCCCTTAATGTCCAGGTTGACACTGAATTTCAAAAAGTTGCAGAATGGCTGAGGTTGGAAGGGATATCTGGAGGTAATCCTGAGTGATTTTTCCAGTCTTTGTATTTTCTGTAGTTAATTTGATTACTGTTCATTGTGGTTGTTTTTTTGTGGCATAAGATAAAATTCCAGTGATCTTTAAAACAAACACAAACCCCAAAACCCAACAAACCCACCAAAACTAAAAGTGAGGAATAGCTTTGTATTCTATAGTTACTGTGAGGTGCTTCTTGCCTTCTGCTCAGCACTTGAGGCCACACATGGAGTGCTGCATCCAGCTCCAGTTTCCCCAGTACAAGAGAGATATGGACATACTGGAGAGAGTCCAGCAAGGGACCATTAATATGAGGAAGGGCCTGGAGCATCTGTGCTATGATGAAGGGCTGAGAGAGCTGGGACTCTTCAGTCTGGTGAAGAGAAGGCTCAGGAGAATGTTATCAATGTCTAAAAAAATATCTGAAGGGAGAGCATAAGGAGAGAAAGGCTATTTTCCACATTGAACGGTGATGGGCAGGAGACATGGGCACAAATTAAACCACAATGTTCCCTCTGAACATCAGGAAACACATTTCTAATGTGAGGGTGACTGAGCAGTGGCACTTCCCAGGGAAGTTGGGGAGCCCCGATTCTTGGAGGTACTCAAAAGCCATCTGGCTGTGGTCCTGCGCAACCTGTTCTGCATGACCCTACTTGAGCAGGGGAGTTGGTTCAGATGACCTCTAGAGGTCCCTTTGAACTTCAGTCATGCCGTGATTTTGTGCAACTGGTCTTCATACTGAAGGTGAGGTCTACTGTTAGGTTACAGTGAAACTTGTATTTTTTTTTTTTCATTTGTTAATATATTGTAAGGTAACTTAAGGGATTGTGGCACCAGTAGATTTTCTGGAACAAAAAAAAGCTCTAAGAATTAACCAGTGATTTCTTATTATAAATTGCAGATTGTTTATACTACTTATTGTAATCACTTTCTAAGAAGTGACTCTCCTTCCAAATGTAGGGTTTTCAAAGGCTGAAGAGCAAAACCTTGCATCTCTGCTTCTGCACTGTGCACAGCTCAACAATGGCATCCAGCAGATCCAGTGTATTAAACAAGTAAGATTTCACTGTTACTGTGGTTTCTGGTAGCTGACAGCGTGTCGTGCTGTTAATAAGAAACACAATTCCAAAATAAACTTTATAGTGCTTTGAACATTCCTGGAAACAGGTAAAAACCAGTCATTGCTGCTGCACGTGCAGGTGGAAAAGTAGTTCTAGTACTTAAATTAGTAAGGGCTACAGTTACTGAAAATTAGGTAAAGTCAGTTACACCAAGTTTCCTATTTTGTATGTGTATATTTGGTATTAGAGGACAGTTTTGCACCATGTGCTTAGATGAGGGGGCGTTTTGCTTCTGTTAATGATGAGGGTATATCCAGAGGTTTTGTTGATCATGTGTTCTGTTGATTATAGATATTGCCATTGGTGAAGAAGATGGATCAAAATTCTGCATGTGATCCTATGGTTAAAGCTTGTTTGGATATTTTGGGAGAGACGTATTTTTCACTGTGTGTGAAGAATCCCTTGAAAAAAGTATTAGCAAGGTAAAAAGTTGAATAGTAAGCCTTTGGGTGTTTTTTTAAATGCTCCCCTTACCTAGAAGTCAGTAATTTGTTGTGCACTACAAGTTGCTGTTGTTTAGTTACAGAAAATTTGACAGGTTTTCTAGCCGCAAAATTAGAACACCCGTGTTCGTTTTAGAACAATATGTTTTTGTGCAAGAAGCAATGTCTATCTATTACTGGAGTTTTAGCTGACATTGAGTTTAGTCAAGTGGATTTTTAACACCTCAGGATGAGTTTAACTGATTGTGCTGTTGCTTATTATTGCAGCTCACTAAACAGTCTTCCTGAGCAGTTTATGACGTTAGCTGTAGAGAGCTTTGTGCGCTGCCTTAGAGAAGAACTGAAAACCACCGATGTGTATCTATACAGAAAGGTGCTGGACAACCTTGCTTCCTGTATGGAGGACTTCAGCTTAGGTACGATGGCATTAAATCTATTGCCTTCTGTTTTAACTTGCTCAACATTGGTTTGCCTTGTGGTGTGGCACCTAGTAGTAATGTTTACACTTTATCTATGGAAAATAGTACTGTCTAGTTTTCACTAGTTAAAATGTATTTTGTTTCCTCTAGGTAGAGCAAGTATTAAGAATCTGTTTGAAGAAGGTAAGTTTCACTGTAGATTGTTGGGGGTAGGGTTCTGTGTGAAGTAACACAGGTAGGCATAAAGACCCATCAGATCTCCTTAGTTTTTAATACCTAGAACCCTCATGTGGTACTTTTCTGTCAAAGGCTTTCCCTTGATTCGTACCAGGGGTCAATCTTGCTTTATTGAACAGTGCTAGACATAAATCGGAAAAGGTACTGGTGTCCTAAAGAGCTGGAGGAGCTGATGCTGTTTGACACAAAGTATTCTCTGTGCTGTGCCTGGTGATGAAGTTGGATGCAGCAGCACTGTTAACAGCCAGTCTTGACCCCGGCAAGCACAAGCCTGCTGTGGCAAGAGTTTTGTCTTGCAGTAATTTGGGAGAAGTCTGATCAGTTTATCTTGTTTATAGAGTGAGAGAAACGCCACTATGTGGATACCTTTTTATGGTGTCTGGGTATGATGTATACGTGTGATTGGTTTGCTGGAATTTTTCCGTTCTATTTCTCTTTTAAATAAATACATACCATAATTATTCTTACTAGTTCTTCAGTTTCTGCAGAAGTCACTACTTGACATACAGGAAGAAAACAGGCAAGTGAATTCAGTGTAAGCTGTATTTTATCTGTTTTTACTTCACTTTTGCAAAATAATCTGGTATGGTTTGAAATATCACTTTGATAGCCATACATTGATGAAAGATGGGAATATAATTTTACAGTCATGCATACTGTAAATAAAAAAAAGCTACTGATGAGTTTCTTTTGTGGCAATGTGATGATGTAAAATAAGAGAGCAAAGGAAGAAAATTAAAGGCAGTAACGTTTAAGGTACTGATGCTGTGTTAGAGCTACTGCTTTTAATGGAGGCCTTTGAGTTGTGGTTTTGTGACTGAACAAAATTAATAAGTAATAGATCCAGTTATTAAAATTCAGGTAGAGTAATACTCTTCCACTTACCGTGAGTGTTTAATTCAGTATTGGTATTCTGTTTAGTCTGTCACAGCAGTCATCATTTAATATGTTGACATTTTCCAGCATTGCATCAAGTGAAGCCTCTTCACTGTGGTCTCTCAATGACATACTCAGAGGAGAAGGGTGCTTAACGGGGTGTTTTGTACGTTAAAATTTACGTGTTGTCTGTCTTCGTGTTAGAAGAAATTTGAGTCATGGAAATATGCTTTGTGCATGGAGGAACTTTGTGAAAAATGTGAAAGGAGGAACATTCTGTTGGTCTTCTTGAAAAGTTTCTGGAGAAGTTCAGCTCTGGGCAGGATCAAATGAGTCAAAGCTTGGCACAGGAACCTGCAGAAGCTGTAGCAGAAATTGTCGTTATTTTGTTAATTTTAAAACATTGACCTTGCGTCTCCTTCTTGGTTTCCTGTAGTTACGTATCTGGTCAAGTCAATAAATTAGTTTTTACCATTAATTCTATCTGAAGTTGGAAGAATGTATTTTTCTGGGGATGATGAAGAATGGTTTTGATTTCTTTTTTGCATGCATGCTATTTTTCTGATTTTTTTTTTTTTTTCTACCACAGAAAGAATCATGGAAATCATCTTGTTCAGACTCAGCTGATGCACGATTTGCTGATAGCCATTAAAGTTTCGATGATGGTTGTACAGAAATTACAAGAAAATATCCAGGGAAGTCTTTGGAAACACCACGAGTCTTTTGTTTGGCGAAGTATGTGTAGTTTACTGAAAAGCTCCACAAGCTTCCTAGTGGATGGTAAGTTTGGTAACATTCAAACCCAAATATTTTTCTTAAGTCAGTCATGTTGTCTTAGTAGTAAGCACAACCTGTACAGATAAAAACTTAGTTTAGCTTGAATGGAAATCGAACTGCTGAGATGAGTGGGAGTAATAATAGGTCTTTCAGCGGGCTGTGACTTGTAGATTGTAATTTTGGAGTGTAGTTTAACTTGTCCTACTACAAAACATGGGATTAGTACTATTACTAATAATTTAGAAAGTCACAAAAATACTTTTGCTCACTGCATATGTGTGCCTACCCAAAATTCATGTATCTGTATGAATTACACTGTCAGAACTATTTATTGGTGCACTCCTATCTATTTGTATTTACTTAGTATATGGATAGTTTTGTACAGTAGAATTCAGTATAACTGTCAGTAGACTCTGCCGGAGTCCTGCTTGTCTTACTGGGCAGTTCTATGTTTTCTGTTTGTGAAAAAGGAGTGAATTGTTGTTAATACTTGCTATTCAGGTGGACACTACAGATTTGTGATTATGTAACTACAAATAGTCTAGGAAAATTTGGTATCATCTTTGTAATTTTGATGTGTAGTTCTAGCACACAATGTTTGCTGCACTCTAATGTAAAATATCTTTCTCTGCCCTGTAGCGACTCTCCTGCAAACTGTTCATACTACCTCAGGACTGGCTGTTATTCTGTTTATTAAAGCTATGTATGATCCGGTTGAAGAATTACCTTCCTTGGTAAGTGTATTTCTTTGTCAAAGACTGTGAAATATTGTAGTATCGTTAATCTGTATTGTTCAGAGGCTTTGCTGATGTGAATAGCAGGACTTGCCAACCTCTGTATTGATGTTTTTCTGAAGTGTAAATCCTTTATTCTCTCTTTGCCATATGAAGTAACCAGACTGGAGTTTTGAATGTGAGAAAAACAAGGTACATGAAACTTCTTCAGATCTTCTAAGACTCTGTTGTGCACAAAATAGCTCTTCTGCTGTGCTGAGATACTGTAATGGGTGTTATTTTTGCTATTACAGATCAGCAACTTGCTTCTTGGGTCACTGAAACTCACAGGCGTGCCAGCGTGGTTCGTGAGTAACTGTGGGACTCTGTATATGGAAGAACTCCCCGACTCGGTCCTTCTGTGTCTTAGCCATGGAGCTCTGGCCATGCTGGAGTGGAAGAATGGCACCATGGGTGAAAATGGAGAGAAATTATTATTAGATATTGCATCGATCTTGTTGTCCTTGAGTTCAGAGTAAGTCTGTGTTTTGATTTGTATTGTTTCATTTTTAGGAGGAGGAGGTTGATGTTTTTTTCTTCTATTTTTGCACAGCTCATATGGTCCTAGTGGAATATCTCTTTGATGTTTTCAGTGTAATGAGATTAGTTTTGCCAAAGATCATGTCATCTTTTTAATATATTCAGAATAACTCTATAAATTTGAAAAACATAGGTTTATGCAATTTCAAGACCTTATAAGTTAGTTTTCTCTTGCATGCTACGGTGAAATTTTGTTTCTCCAACCTAAGTGGTTATTAGGTTACCGACTATCTGATGGTAAGGTGTGACAGTATTAGTTGTTACATAGATGGATAAACTAGCTTCAGACACTGTTTCCTATGCTTTAAGAGTACGGCGGGAAAACAAAGTGTGCCTTTTGAGTGGAATGCTTAAAGATGAGTTTTAACTGAGTGCTTGCATCTAATAGATGAGGCTTTGAGCAACCTGGTCTAGTGGGAGGTGACCCTGCCCATGGCAGGAGGATTGGAACGAGATGATCTTTAAGGTCCCTTCCAACCCAAACCATTCTGTGATTCTATGATGATTACCAGCACTATGGGATAGGAGATTAAAACATGTATTTAGTCCAGCTTTTGTTCCTGCCCTTGAGGTCAGTTTTGTGATTTTGTTTTTGCACCTGGTACTTGTTTGGGGTTTTTTAATGGTTTTATATGGCCATGAAGTTTTACTTCTAAAATGGAAGTTTTACTTATATTTTCAGGAGGTGTGCAGTAACGTAACACTGCTGAAATATTAGCATGTCAATATTGATTTTTATATTTGTTTTTAAAATAGCAAGTGTAGTGGCTTGTTAGTTTTCCCCATGTTTAGGGGGTTTAGCTGGGACCAGCTAACAGAGTCAGGTAAATAAGTATACACTTTGCAACATCCATTTCATCACCTCCTTTTAGCGCTAGTGTCTCCTTACCTGTTTTAGTGTGAAGTAAACTACTGTGATGACTAACTATTCTGAAATAAAAAAACCCTTTTGTTTGTTTCTTTTAAAAGGTTAAAAGAATCCAGTATGGCAATGTCTTTGTCTAGAATCCTTGCTATTTGGACTAATTCAGCACTGATTGCCCTTGCTTCAGGCTCCTCAAATCTAAAAATCAACCTTAATGGGAACTCAGATGTAATTGGGAAGCTGCTGGAATACGTTTATACACACTGGGAACACCCTCTGGATGCTGTTAGACACCAAACCAAACTGATATTCAAGAATCTTCTTCAGATACACCAAACCACTATTACTGGATCCGGTGAAAAATCAGACCCCTTCCTTGCAAAGCTGATAAAGCATTTGCTAAGCTTGGAATGGCATGTGAAAGGGAAATATGCTTCTCTTGGCTGTCTTGTGGAATGTGTGGGTGCTGAAAATATACTGCAGCTGGATAGAACGATTCCAGTACAAATCTTGGACGTGATGAATGATCAGTCTCTTGCACCCTATGCGAGTGATCTTTTGGAAACCATGTTTACAAATCACAAAGCACAATTTGCTTTGAATTTTCAGGGAAACACCTGGATTGAGCAGTGGCATGACATCTGGGTTTCTCCTCTTCTGGTAATACTGTGTGAAGGAAACCATGACCAAACTACTTACATAATAGATTACTATTTACCAAAGTTGCTCAAATGTAGCCCTGACAGTCTGAGCTACATGATCAGAATTCTTCAGGCTTCTGCAAATGCTAATCTAGGTAAGAAAATAAATGCCTTGTTTGTGATGATGGTTGTGTGTGTGGTGTTTTTTTTTTTTTTTTAATAAATCAGAAATGTGATTTCTGATATGTTATTATTATTACTATTATGTTTTATAATAAATTAATATTATGTTTTATAATAATAGTGATAATAACAATATTTGTGGAGAAAAATTCCAGATATTTATTATTGCTGTTTGTATTTCAAGGTGGACTTCGTAATAGTAATAAGTGTGTCTTCATGCCATAAGCAAAATAATTACTATTCTAACTGTGGGCACCTTACTGTTGTTTTTACATGTCAAGCTTTATTACACATCAGTTTGGGTTTTTTTACTGTTTTTCTTTTCTGCTGTTATTTCTTACACAGCCATATCCAGTAACAGGGCTTTACTGATTATTTTTATTGCAAATATGTGCATAAGATATTTATGATTCTCTTGTAGATTTTGATAAAATTTAGCATAAATCTAAGATAAGGACTTGTGAGACTTCACGAGGTCCTTTTTTCACATGATGGTTTCAAGACAAAGCTTTTTGGGAACCAGGTGATTTAGAAGTAGTTTAATCTGTGGCAGATGCTGTCTTATGGGGTAAAATATAAAAGGGGAGTAGGGGACGTGTGGTGGAAGTACTGTGTTAATCAAGCTATAGTTGTTAATGGTTTTCATTTTCTTTAGGCTCTTGCAGTACTAGAGGAGCTCTTGGAGCATTAATGGCATGCCTAAGAGCAGCTAGAGCTCATGGACACCTAGAACTTTCAAGTATCATGAGCAATGGTCTTTTATCCACTGAATGTATAAAACAAGGTCTAGTTCATCAGCACAATCAGGTAAAGGGATAATGTGGGGATTTTTTTGGTCTTTAAACTAAAAGAGTTGGTTCACTCCTAAATGCTGTGCCAATATTGTTTTAAAACAAAGATATCACCAAAGATGCCTCCAACTCTTTTGCGGTTAACATGTAAATATTTTTCAGGTTTGCATTGATGCTCTAGGTTTACTTTGTGAAACCCATCGTAGCATAGAAGTTGTGTCTATGGAAGAAATGCAACTAATTCAGTTTTTTATGATGTACAACTTGAACAGCCAGTCTCCTTCAGTAAGGCAACAGATAGGTTCTTTACTGAGAAAGGTAATTTCGAACTATAAATAACATCTGATGTGCCTCTTATGTTATTATATAGCATTTAAAAATAAATTCTGAGTGTGTTGTGAAGTTGCTCATCTGAACGAGTAGAAGCTTTAAAACAGGACTGCGTTCTGTGTATTACCCAACAGAACGATGATAAGTCATCACAGGCAAGGTTGTCTTAAATGAAGTGATAAGCACAGTAACTTGATCGTGAGTGGTGGTTAGTAGTACTGAACTTGTCAGTATACGCGTACTTTACCAATAGCAAAGCCGTGTGCCGTAATCGATGAAGCTTGTGTTGCCTTTGTGGATGAAGAGTGTGCTTAACAGTGATTTACCAGACATCAGGCAAACTCTCAGTCACTTGATCAACCTGACTTGGAAGACAAGGTAGAGGGGAGCCATGTTAAAGGGAACAGGATCACACGTGGCTGTGCTGTTATCGCCCGCAGGGATTGTGTGTGTCAGCATTGTGGTAGTTGCCAAGATCGCGTGTAGATCATAGTAGAAGAATATGGCTAAAATGATGAAAACATGTATGTATAGAGAACACTTCGGAAGAAGTTAATGGCAAAAAAAAGCAGTATGGAAAGAGAAAATAATTTGAGGTTGGGGGGAAAAATGGGGAAATAGGTTTGGCAGATACAAAAGAGAAGGATCTTCATTATCGCCAGTTGCAAACTGAAGAACGTGAG